CCCCCCCCCCGGGGCAAATGATAAGGAAATTTCCGTCGTTCTGTTCCGAACGGATTTTCCGGAAAATTACTGTTCGACCGAAATTTACGGATTTTGTGGGTAAATATGCTGCATAAACTTCAAGGGATAAGATGCTTAGAAGGCAAAGACAGAAAGTAATTTCCAGGCCCAAGGGTAGAGTAAGAGGAAAAACTTTTTCTGGTATCATCTTCGGGGCAAATCAAACACGGCAAAAATTACAGTACTGTATGGGAAAAGTTCAAACTTCGATGCCTAATGAGTTGGGAGTGATTAACGATTTGATGCCTAACAGCCCGGCCTAGCAGAAAATTTTCCCGATCAAATTTGAACAACATGGATTTGCCGTGAGGAGAGGAATTGCACTTTTAACTTTTCATACAAATGTCTCTACTCTCTCAATTTTCATTGAACTGAACCAACTTCTAGCGAGGCTATTTCCCACTAATTTGGTCAGTAAATTCATTTACCTGGTGTATTTAGTTCTAAATTCAATATTTCAGGTTGTTTAGTTGCCGCAAGGGTTAGTAGTTACCAGCCTCCTTCTGTCGGTTGGAAATCGGAAGAGGAGATCTGGAGTTTAGTGTTCGCACGCGCGCGCTGCGGAAAAAGTTTTTGGATTGATTTCTATATCGTTGCTTGGCACTTGAAAGATTAGTTTAGTGTAAATCACCTTAAACTCACACTATGGCACGGCTGAGTGACTATGATTGCATTGGATTCGATCTTGATCATACATTAATTCAATATAAGCTGGATAATCTTTACCCGGTAAGTCAAAATTGATCATGAGTCTGATATACCACGGTACAATGTAAGTTCTTGACAGTTATTAATAATGGTAATAGGACTGAGTGGAGTCCGATTCGGTCTGTAATCATACGAGTGATTAACAAAATCGAACGACCGCGAGTCCGATTTTGTTAATCACTCGTATGATTACGGACTGAATTGGTCGACACGATGTCCTGTTACCAATTAATCAAAACTATGACAAAATTCGAGAAACGAACAAACCATCGATTG